CATTCTCCAGGGATGCTACACTATCCGATCCGGTTTTTCAGACAGCCAGTCCGCGGCGGATGCGGCGTCAAGACGGCGTCGGCGGCCGCGAGGCCGGCCGCGCCGAGCTGCCAACACCTCGGCAACCCGCTGTGCGGGGGATGCCATCCATGATCTGCCAGTATACCAGCCGGCAGAGGCCGCCCGCGGGGCTTGAGTGTGTGAGGCCATCAACGTAGTGGTTGTGTCGTGCGGGCTGCGCGTGTGGTCACGAGATGAGCAAGGAATGACTAAAGACGTGACAATGGTGCCGACTTTATTCAGTTTTGCAGAATGAGACGGTCGCTAACACTTGCATACTTCTGCGTCAATCTCATAAGTGCCGTCAAAGATTATCATCACTATCGGACGTTAATCCAAAAGTACACAACGGCGGTATAAAAATGGGAACAGGATAACTTGGATCGCCATAGGGCACGGAGAATAGCGAGCTTTCTCCAGGCAGATCCTGAGCTAAACACCGCTGAAGCCCACGGCGACTTCATATTCATCGGCAAGTGCAGCTGCTTGAAGGAGACTTCAGGATGCAGGCAGCATGACATTAACGAGCTCGGCCTCTTGAATCACCCTGCAGAACCACTTAAGCATCAGACTCCATGTCTTGTCGAAGCTATCCTAAATATGCGAAATTAGAAGACTATAAATCTGGTGATCTCCAACTCAAGTGGAAAAATCCGCTTGCAAAGGAGGAAATACGCATTTCAGAACGAAAATTGGAGTGTAGCATATTTAGTGAGACATTTGTCATTTACAGGCCGCTACCACAGCAGCAGGAGCTCGCGCTAACGGCTCTTCAGCTGCGAGCGACTCCTGCGATGAAAACAGGCCTGGAGGGCGGCGTCAGAACCAGCCTGAGCCGCACCTGGCCGCGGCTATTGATTTCCTCATAGTTGCTGAGTTCGCTCCCCCGCGTCCTTGAGAATACGTGCCCCCGATTCCGGTGGAGGAGCATTGGCGTGATCAATTCACGGGCATGGGCGCGACCCAGTTCGCTGCAGCGGCAGCAGCGTAGATCCTGTTTCGTCACCACGTTTATGCTCGGACCAGCGGGAGTGCAATGGCTGTGGAGAACTTCAAATACGCCGGGTTCCGTATTGCAGTTCATTTTGCACCCACATGCATGTTCAATTCCAAGACGTCGTATTTTACAGCCGGTGGTGGGCGTGAGCGGTAATCACATCAGACTGCATAAATAGTACAGAATACGGTAGTCAAAAGGTGGAATAGCGGAGTTTCAAGCTTAGTGATCGGCTCCTGGTACCCACACAGCTGGAGTGGGGACCAGTTCGCCGGTATCGCTGTACTCGGAGGCACCATCGATCTAGTGTTCCTGGGAGTTCCGACTGGTGAGCACATTAGTGAAGGAACCATTTGTGTTAAAATGTGCAGAATTTATCGTCGAAGAGATCGGACTCCAAGTACATGCATTTAAATGACACTTAAAAACATAGTACAGGCAAACTAACCTTATTGACATCATTCCGACCAGCCAAATTGCTTCCAAAAATCATACATTCCCCGATTCGTTTCCTTGCGTACCGTACCGTTCTTGTTTTTGTTTTGGAGATGCATTCGTGGGTGACTAATATTCAAGGCATAGGAAGGATCCAAAGTTCAATGCCGTATTGCCCATTGTGCTCAGAAAATAAGCGGAATCGTATGAGTCAAAATTCACCGCAGCTATTAACACTCAAACGTGTTCAGTGGCCAAGGTACTCCATTGCGTACACTGGCGATGTGCACCAAAAGACCCAAGCTACATCAGCGTGACAAAGCGCGCCGCTTCAGACGACGCAAAAGTGCACAACAGCCAAAACACGCTAGTTTTCTTGCCTCGCTCTTATCGAAGTCGCGTCAACTCCCCAGAGTGTTTTTGTTTCTTAAATGAAACACACGATAAAACATATATTTAGGCACGTTATTACGAGACCACGATAACAAGTCGCTTTGCATTATTTTGCGAGAGTTCTGACGTACCAATGCAGACTTGACCTCCCAGGGCAGGTCTGAACCATCCAATGCTTTCATTGTTGGAACGTTTGAATCGTGGGGAGAACGGTAAATATCACACTAAACTCATTTCCTTTGCTTAACATTTCATGGCCACGACCACTACGCTGTTGAAGTGATGAACTATTTGATAAGTAACACAAAAAACTAAGCATTCCTGGTAGCCAAATCAAAGTGAGCAAAATCCTTTGAGATACAAACGTTTGGGGAAGTTAGCTTGTCGGGCCATTACCTCACCCCTCCCCTTAAACATGTAGATTCACGCCCCCGGCATCATACCCCGATAAATCTCGTGTTGTATCTGCTTATGGATTTTAGAAATTCAAGCTCATAAGATTCAGTACTTAAATCTCGCTCGAAATACAACCAAAACAGCGAACATTATGGCCGCCTTTCGGGTGCTTCAATTAAAATTCACGGATAGTATAGCCCAATTTCATAGTACAACAGATAGCTACTTTTAAAAGCAGTTTCTCTTACTCGACATCAACTCAGTTCCTTTAACCCTTGATTACGACTGGTTGCTTTAGATCTCAAGTTGAGATTGGTTCAGAAGGCCATGATAATTTGTTTGAGATCAATTTCCGATCATCGATGTCATTCCCGGATATGACATAGCCTCAGCGGCATGGCAGCGAGTCGCACTGCTTTTTGTGTCTATTCCTTCCATAATGTACACAACCGCTCAAAAAGCTTGGGGCTTAACTCTTGGCGACCATGAAATAATTTGATCTATTAAGATTTAGAACCTCATGATTTCTACGAGGAGGAAACTGTGGATCGCGAAGGCTTTTCAATCTGAACGAACGCCAAACCAACGCAGAAATTAGCTTCCGTGCAGTGGGGCCTTCGGCTTACTGCTCCGTCATAACATGGCATGAAAACTGCTCCGCGATGGTGCGCCACTTACCTGTGGGGCCTCTCACAGGAGTGTGCGATTGAAAGTTTTTTCACAGCGAGCAATCTTTGATACGAGCTGGAAACGATAGGAAAAGCCATGAACATGGGTCGTTGGCTATACAATGGCTGTTTATGCAATTCACAGATATTGACGTAGGAGGCGATTTTGCAGCATGGGCTCGTAACCCATGAAGCTTTCATGCTTAACTTACTGGAAACCTCCATAATGGAAACTTCCAATACCGTTCCATTACCTGCAAGCGATATGAGTTTAAGTCTGTCTGCTGTCCCAGTTTCTACTTTGACCGCAGCAGCTGACATGAGCGGTTCGTTTGACAATACGTCAGTTGGTAGCTGTTCATGCGCCGATTAATTTATTCACCATTAAGCTCAGTACCAAATGGATGATGACAGGCATGCCCGCCCGAACCGAGACACAGGCGAGCTGTGTACAGGAAGTTTAATAATCAGCATCCTGCTCAAAGCATTTGTTGGCCATCATGGCGGATGGCCTTGATCCCAACAGCGACAGCCGTCAGCAAACAAAGAAAAACGAACAGTACATCACATTGAGTAACTGTTTTATGGCTCGATGTGATGCGCTGCAGCAGTGTCAGCTTGGAGAGCTGACCCACTGCGAGCCTTCCGGGAGCTGCACGGCGGAACAACTGCTCGCACTGCGGGCCTCACTGGTGCAATAGCTCAGGCCGCGGTGTTGCACGGCGCGTGGCATACGCTCCGTTGCGGCACTCGCTCTGATGTCTTTTGCTGCTCTCAGCCAGGATGACGAGGAAGCAGCGACCCGGACGCCCGGCGCCGTCCAGTCCAGCGCGTGGAGCGGTGAGCGAGAACTGGGACAGGTAAGCTTTCTTCATCCCTTTTGCGGCTGCACAATGCGTGCCATTCTGGCCCCTCTTGGCCTGAAGCCGATACAGCAGCAGCTTTATTTATCAGCCGTCTGCCTTTGTCAGACGCTGAGCGACGCCTTGCGCACGGAATCCTCTCGAACTCGTTCCCCAAAGCCACTTCGAGCCACGCCACCTCGAGCCCCTAAAAGTCCAGCCCTCCAAAGCGCCCTCCGGACCACGCGTCTGGGACCCTCTCGAACCAAACTTCTGAAGCTCACTCACAGAGCACGTGAGATTATGCCGGAGATGCACGGTCGGCTGACCGGGCGCGATGCCGCCCGTCACCTCTAGTACCAGACCTGCCTATCACCTTCGGTATCAGATCTGCCTGTCACCTTCGGTACCAGATCTGCCTGTCACCTTCGGTACCAGGTTTGGCCGTCACCCTCGGTACCAGGCCCGCTTGTCACCTCCAATACCAGACCTGGCTGCCACCTTCAGTACCAGACCTGCCTGTCACCCCGGTACCAGATCCGCCCGTCACCTCCAGTACCAGATCTGCCTGTTACCTTCGATGCCACACCTACCTGTCACTTTCGGTACCAGACCCGCCTGTCACCCCCAATACCAGGCCTGCCTGTTACCTTCGGTACCAGACGCGCCTGTCATCTCCAGTACTAGACCCGCCTGTAATCTCCGGTACCAGATCCACCTGCCACCTTCAGTACCAGACCTGCCTGCTACCCCTGGTACCAGACTCACCTGTCACCTTCGGTATCAGACCCGTCTGTCACCTCCGGTACCAGGCCTACCTGTCTCTCGCAGTACCAAACCCGCCTGTCACCCCCGGTACCAGGCCTGCCTGTCACCTCCTGTACCGGACCTGCCTGTCACCCTCGGTACTAGACCCGCCTGTCACCTCCAGTACCAGGCCCGCCTGTCACTTCCGGTACCAGACCCGCCTGTCACCTTTGTTACCAGACCTGCCTGTCATCTCCCGTACCAGACCCGCCTGTCACCTCCAGTACCAGGCCCGCCTATCACTCCCAGTACCATACTCGGCCGGCACCCGGCACCAGGGCTGGTGATCACCCCTCGTAGCAAACCCGCTCGTCAGCACTGGAACCAGACCCGGCCGTCGGTTCGAAATCACCCCCGGCGCCAGGCCCCGAACCGAGTCTGGGCGGCGGCTGGAGCACTCACGCGTGTAGGCGGCCATGGCTGCGGCGTGTGTGCGGAGCGGCGGAGCTGCGGGCTGCGTGCGGGCTCGCGGCCGAGCGCCACCATCGGCTGCGCCACTCGCCGCCGGCGCTGCCGCCACACCACTAACGATCGGCGGCGCGCCGCCCGCCGCCGCTGGCGCCGCCACGCGGCCGTCGCGCGCAACTCGTCGATAAGAGGCCGCGGCCGGCGCCCGCTGGCGGCGCGCCAGCCTGCCGCGGGGGATCAGTTTGACCTTGTGTGGTGGCGTGCCGGCATGCCGCATTCATGGCAATCAGATAGGGAGCGACCCCAGCTGGAGACGGGAATCGATGCCGGTGCCCGGTCGGCGCGGTCGCACTCGCTCTCTAAGCGCCGGTCGATCGCCAACATAGGCTGCTAATTGATGTTCGGGTCGGTTGGCCGCCGTCCGGTCGATTCGCGGGCCAGGTTCGCGAAATTGACCGGTGGGGACACTCGTGGTCGCCTCGTGACCGTGGCCGGCGGGGTCAGAGGGGCGGCGCGGGCGCCGGCGCTGGCGGCGGCGGATCGGCACAGCCTACGCCAAACACGGCGCTGCTGCCGGGTTTCGGCGTGCAGCATACTCGCATAAACGCCGCGTTGGCACTAGCAACCGTGTTTGCTTCTTGTTACGGGCAGGAGCCAGTGCTGAAATCGATGGGCGTTTTGGGCGTCGTCGTTATATGTAGATGTCCCGTCGGCACCATTTACGATGGCTTTATGGACGCAAGGCGCAATTATCATTGAACATTTCGCATGGCACACATTTAAGGGTGGCTTATCATTGTTGAACTGAAACGCATTTTCCCCTCAAGACCGTGCAGACGGATTTTTGCCGTAAGACTGCGCAGTTCTGCGTACGGATTTGGAGTTGTCCGCAGCGAGCGAGGGCCAAACGCAGCGCCTCTAATGGTCTCCAGCCACAATTGTTGTTTTTCATCTGCCTTAACTGGCTGGATGAGTGGTCAATCAAGCAGATTATCACTAAATCCGTTACAGTTGAAGCACGCGTGGTGGCGTCTGGCGGTGCAAAAGTTATCGGTCAAGAAAGCGTAGTCCCACGCTCGCGACTGCGGAGGGTCTCGTCCCGTCTAAGGTCCTGTCCTGTCCTGTTCTGCCCTGTCCTGTCCTGTCAGGTCCTGTCCTGAAGTTCATGTTTCCCCTAGGGCAATCCAGATGTCAGTTGGAGCCATGTGCATTCATTGGAGCTTGATCTACACGAATTCAAAATTTGCCCTCGCCCAGAGGCTAGCCAGTCGTAACCCGTGCGAAGGAAAAAACACTGTCAGCTTCCGTATCTCACTCAGGAATGACAACATAACTATGAAGTAGAAATGCACCAGTGGACAGCGAACTAGCACCTTGAACATATAAAATTCGTCAGGAATTACGTACACGCTACTCTTTGACACTATCCGCCAATCTTGCCACCTCAAACGAAGGCTATAACGTGTAAAGAACCAAGTACACTATCACCAAAGCGACATTTTTCAACAGCGACACTTCCGCGTGAGACGAACCCTGAAAACATTATTTTGCATTACGTTTCCCAGTGTTTTCATAATTGTTTAGATGGATAGATGGGGGATATTTGACCAGCTTCAATTACCAAGCGCTGTATTTTTTACGACTACGAAACCGTGAGGGCGTTTGTTATAATGCGACGATACCACGTTTAATACCACAGGCCTCGTTTCAAGTACGATGGTCTTCATTACCAACCCCATACTACTATACCATACTACGTGACCAGACTGATGGTTTAATACTTCGCAGGTGGTTTCGAGTACTACCTCCGAATGTAATCCCCACAGCGCTAGGGGCTGATAATGATAGCTGATGTGGCTCCTAACCGAATTCAGGTAATCTCAGCTACCAGGCATAGGAGGGAACTGTATGCAGCATTTTGGCGATAATGTCTTTGCGTTACGTAAGCAATGACATTTTTATGAGAGCCATCTGTGCGAAGTGCAATCTACATTTACATTACATTTTACAGCACATGGAAGAAAATCCATTTGTTGTCGTCCCGAAAATCTGCATGATCTGCATTATGCACTGGATGAACATGGGTTAAGAACAAAACCACCCTAATTTTCCCTCGAAGAGAGCCTCTCATCTTAACCACTAACAGTAAGTTTTAAAGAATACCTTCAAGCCACAATGCATAAGCTAGCGAAGACGCATACATGATCTGAACACATTCACGCTCAAGTGTCACACATCCGCGAGCGGCAGGGGTAGCACGAACACGACCACACCCTCTGGGATATACACTCGCACCGGAACATCCCTGCTGAGGTTACTTGGCCAGGATGCTGCTGACAAGCTGGACGATCGTCGCGATCAGCCTGCTGCCACTGGTCAAGTGAGTCGCGCGCATGATCAGCGACTACGAATCTTCCTCCAACACAAGCATAGCTACGCAGAGCACAACCAGAGCGTCCGCCAACGTACCAGAAATGACCACCGCCACGCCTTCAACCATGGCGGAGATCCCCAGCCTGTCAAGACCCGGCTCCAGCGTCCATTTGTTGCTCAGTAGGAGTTTCGTCCTCTACAAAAGGCACACCAGTGGCTCCGCCGCCTCTCCCGAAAAGACCATTCTGTTGGAGACGGCTGATAAATATTTGCCATCTTATCGTCGTTATCTTCTAAACGCCCACTGAACATTCCAGGCTCCGTTTAATTTATGGCAGCTTGGAGCACGGCAGAATGCGTGGTGATTGTTACACAGCCACTTTCAGTTGCATGTGTACATGCTTTGAATTCAATCAAACATTATGCAAATGCGCAGATTCACAGATGACCGCACCGAATTAAACAGAACATAGAAAAAGAATGGACAAGGGCTTAAACTTTACCATCATCTGCCACAACCAAGCCGATTGTTGTATTCCTTGTAACTGACAGTGACCTAATTGTCGTTTCTAAAAACGGCTGCCTCGTTATTAAACATTTGCAGCTGCCAAAAGCATGAACTCGGTTGCAGAGAATGTATGGCTACGAAAAACTGACAACATTGGACATATTAAAATTGTGTGAGCAGAGCAGAAATGCCCCGTGTCCAGATCCTGGAGCTAAATTAACAGACTGGGTCACACTTAACATTAAATTGCGGTCATTGCCGGCGGGAGCTCCAGATTTATTGATCATCATTCAAGTTCTCAGTTTCATTCGAAATTCATGTGGTTCGTTCTTGACAACTAGTTGAGAACTAGCCAAGATAAACTGAGACTGGACAGCTTCACCATGTCGTTAGGTCGTGCGTTCTCTGTTATAACTTTTCGGCAAAAACTGTCGATCAAAGTGAAACTGCTATGTGCCGGTGTGCAGGCATCAGGACCTTCACAGCGAGCCATGCTTATCACAGGCGATGATCAAAGCTTTCCCCACAAAGCGTTCAGCCGAACTTCTTGAAAAGAGTATGCTAAACGTCCACAAAAAAATGGCGAGCACCCGACAAACGCTCACGTCATTACACCAGAGCCGACCCTATACAAACCTTGTTCTCGATCGAACCAGGGGCACCCGCAATGCGGACCCGCAATGCTCTGTTCATCGGGTACGTGCTGGCCCGTGGTTGCGCCCCACCGTGGGTCTCCAGTGACCCGACCGTGGGGTGATACCGTGGGGCGATACCGTGGGGTGATACCGTGGGGTGATACCGTGGGGCAACACCGTGGGATGATACCATGGAGTGACACCGTGGGATGATACCGTGGGGTGACACCGTGGGGTGATGTATTGATCTCGGTCATAAACAACAATGATCGTTCGTCGTTGCGTCAAGCGCAGCTTACTCTTGCGGGCCCAAAGTCTGATGAGTCAGAGTTGGACCGGCATCGTGGGGTTAGTGTATGGCTGATGACGGGGAGGTCAGGCAGGTCGGCTCTCGAAGCAACAATGACCGGCCGTTGGAAAACTGGTTGCGCGACATCCAATGGTGAAGGGGACATGGGTTGCTTTAATTTTCAACGCAAAGCGATGCCTGAAGGAGTGCTCCGCATTTGTATTGGGTTTTGAACTGAGATATCCACTTTGAATTATTCCATTAAACAATACTGAATTCATTTTCATCATTCAACATCATTCAATTTCATCATCATTCTGCATCATTCCATCATTCAATCATCATTCAACACTGAATGATTTCATTCAGTGGAGTTAACAGCCACGCTGTTCCGAAAACTTAAGCCCTCTGGTTTCTGAGCTTGACGCCCGAAAACTTGCGCAGGCCATTTCAAGGCCACCCTGGCGTGCATGATGCCATAGAAACATCACGCCAATATTGTTATTTCATAGGCCATGGAGTGCTCAAAGCCAAAACAAAATATTATCATTAAGTTATTCGTTTCTGGCGTACGTCAGCACGATTTCTAGCATCAACGGACTTCGTTTGGCTATCAAACAGCGTCATGCGCTCAGTACAACTTTCGGGCAAGAATGACGTCTTAAGCTATATTTTACAAGAATTCGGGTAGTGATGCTAGTTATGACCGAATTAAGACTGTAAATTGAATAATGAAGTGTAACGCCATACCTGAGTATGTAATTGTAAGTAAGCGATACAAAATCGTGAGCAACTATGCAAGCACACCGCAACAAAGGGCCCAACCAAACACGCACACATAACGATACGTAATATTTGGGTTTCGCAAACAACGCACCGATTATCCCGACACCTCTCGGCAAGTTTAAGCACTACAGGTGAGTCATCCAGTCCGCCACTGTGGCAACTTCGCACGACCAGTTTGGCAGGCATGCATACGTCAAGCAAGCATCGCATGACGCAATCAAGCGATGATGCATTGAGAAACATATTAACTAGATAATGAAGTTGTGTTGTCTGGAGCAGTCTTTTGCACTGGAAACCTTACCAGTAGTTATAACTGAGTTTATTCCATCATTTTTGATACTGAACCGCAGGGTTATAAGTGACCGACAAAATCCCGTCACCGACAAAATTTGGAACAGCCTTAATTGTCACCTGCAGGTAAATCTATCACAAATCATTGCAATGTAGCTCTAAA